ACACAAATTTCAAAGCAAGACAACTGGAGATCTTCACTGTCTATTATATTGTCTCTTGTGTTCTTCCAAATAGTTGTCCTATCTTCACATACAGTAAATTCATATAAAGCAAAACAGTATAAAACTCATCAGAACAGGATGATGAAGGCATTTTAGGTCTTCAAGACCAGACAATAAGGAAGTCAACAATGGCTGCCACAGTGTCTCTCATTCTCTTCAAAATAGCTGTCCATAACTTCACATACATTGAAATTAAACAAAACAAAACAGACTAAAATCATTCTGAACAAAGAATAATAGATTGCTGGATTTCACATCATTGATGCTATGAAATCAGACACTAGGTACCATAGTGTCTCTTTTTCTTCAAAGTAGTTGTTCATTTCATTGTGCATTATATAATCAGTTCTCATAAACTGTTTAGAAGTCCAGACAAAACAGCAGTCTAACAAACCAGATTCAAATAAGATCAGTCATAATAAGACAGTTTAAGTTATACAGAGATCCAGATTGAGTTAATAGGAAATTAAGGATATATCCTGCTATATATAACCATAATATATCCTGCTATTTTTGGAATAGCTGTCTGTGCCCTCAAATCTAGTACAAGTGGACCCAGTGGAACAGAATGTAATCAAACTAAACAAAGTGATGAGAATAATATGGCTTTTAAGACCTGATACACTATTAGCAATGTCCTCTGCCTTCCTTTTTTTAGACAATTCCTTCCCTTTCACTTTCACAGGATGCATTGTACATTTTGAATCCCACTAACTCCTTTAGTTTTTAGATTAGAGGACAACCCACTGTTTACCTAAGTGGTTCTGAATCTTTTTACCCCTGAGCTTGATCTTAAGTTCTATTCCTTTACCTACAAAAGCCTCAAGATTTTCTTTCATTATAGCTGAGTAGTTCTCCACCGCCCAAAAGTATCATGTCTTTCCGACCAGTCTGCAGGTGTTGGACGAGCTGCCCCTATATCTCTCTGGTTCCCTGTGACATACAGCATTGTTTTCTCATATTTGACTTTCGGTCCATAAACCCTCTTTCAGGTTAATTGTATTTCCTATGCAGAGCATTGCGGTGGATCCTATCTCCTGGTCTACTCTGCCTGTGTTTCTTTTTGTTAGTGTATCAAGGCTATCTATGTTAGAGATTATAGCCAACCTTCTCTGCCTCTTTTCTGCTATGCTATTTTTTTTTTTTTTTTTGCCATTGGTTGTCTACTTTTCCCCTTCATTCCACTGTCTGCCCCACTTATTGAGGCCTCTTGCCACTGTTACTGAAAGCCTGGTGTTTTTTTTTTCCTCTCTCTCTAGAATGTCCTTCAGTACTTTTTGTAGGGTTGGATTGGTGTTCACGAACTCCCTCAGTTCCTCTTTGTCATGGAAGCATTTTGTTTCTCCATTAATTTGAGAGATAGTTTTTCAGGGTACATCAATTTGGGTTGGAGGTTATTTTCTTTCAGGGCTTGGAATACTTCACTCCAAGCTCTTCTTGATTTGATGGTTTGTGTCAAGAAGTCTGTTGTGATTTTGATAGATTTTCCTTTATAGGTTATCTGTTTCTTTTCTCTGATGGTTTTTATATTCTGTTCTTGTGATGAGTTTCTGGGATCTTGATTATTATATGTCTGGATGTAGATCTGTTTTGGTTGTAGCTGGCGGGAGTTCTGTATGCCTCATACATCTGAATATCTTTCCTTTTCCTATGCGTGGGAAGTTTTCCTTAATTATTTCTGTGAATAGCCTTTGTCTTTCATTTGTGTTTACCCCTGCTTCTTCACTCACATTTTTTATTCTTAAGTTATAGATCCTCTTGTCTTCTAGCCTTTGTATTGTTATTGCCTGTTTCCTTGTTATTTTTAAGAGAGCTTTCTTTTTGCAATCACACATTGCAAATTTCTCTTCAAGTTTTGATAATCTATCTTTAGTTTCTTTCTGGCAATTTTGCCAGCTTTCAATAGAGTTTTTAATTTCCTGCTAATATCTTTGAATCTGTTTCATGTATTCTAGATTTTTTTATATTCTTCATGGAAGATTTCTCTCCTTTTTCAGTGTTCCTCCATTCTTCCATTTGTGTCTCCTTGAAGGTGCTTAGCATTTCTTTTATTAATCTTCTTATATCTTGTTTTACTTGTATTAGAATTTCAGTTTTGAGTTCATTTATAATATCATGAAGATATTTCTTTATGTCAGTTGATGCCATGTCCAGTATTGCATGTTTGCTGCCCTGGATCTCTTCTGTATTTACCTCTCCTGGACCCATCTTCCCTGGGGTGGCTAGAGGCTTTTTCTTATTTCTTTCTCTTGTCATGTTTCTTGTTTCTTCCATGTAGGTGTATGGTGGAGGTCCCAGCCCCTTTCCATAGTGGTTACGGTTCTTCTGAAGCATGCTGGCTAGGGTTTGCTGCCCTCCCCAGTTTGCTGTTGATCATTGAGGTGCAAGCAGGAGCGATGTAGGCTGTCCCTTCTCCGAGCCAGTCAACTAGCGGGGGCCTTCACCACATTAGTGTGTGCCATGTGGATGGAGCCAGTTTGGGACAACTTTGGGGGCAATGTCATCCCTGGCTATTGGATCCCAACCAGAGGCATGACCTAGTCCAAGCAGATCCCACCAATCTGCTCTGGACTGGGAGTGGCCAACTGAAGCCACTACAGTTCCTGGTCCAGGCCTGTCTTGCCCAATTCTAATATGTCCTCTAGCCAGTCACCTCCCTTCCTCAGGAGGACCAAATTCCACAGTGGGTTAGTGCAGGTCTCCATGCCGGCTCTGTTCTCTGTTGTGATGCATCCTCTGCAAAGGGCGAGAACATCAGACTCACCAAGCCTGGACTTCAGTGAGACTGTGAGTCAAACTGGCTCTGGAAAGAGTGCCGTAACTGTGAGTCAGACTGGCTCTGGTGAGAGCACCCGTGACTGTGAGTCAGACTGGCTCCAGTGAGAGTGAGTCTAGCTCCAGCCTTCCGTCTATGTTTTTCTTTTCTTTTCTTTTTTTTTAAATTTTTCCTTAGTTTCTTCCTGAGTCATGAGAATCTCTTTCCTTTTGTCCAGTCTTCTCCATGATGGTGAATTCTAGCTCTGGGCTGTTTCTCTTAAAGAGGCTCTTTACCTTGCTACTTATCAATCTGCCATCTTCTCCTTCTGTCCAAAATAGCTGTTGGTCCTGGTACTCCATAACTGAGATTGACTAAGGGTCACAGAAAATACTGTGGCACAGTGTCAAAGAGCCAGGGACTCGGCCAAACAAGCAACAACTTCTCATTTCCAACAAACTGAAGAGGTAAGCTCTTTCAACAGACACAAAACCCAAAAACCAACTACACTGGAAGATATCTCAGAGAAGTGGTCATCACTTAATGATTCTAAATACTAGCAATAAAGTAACCCACCATAGGAAACTTACAAGTATTGCCCCAGGAATTAAACTAAAAAAGAGAGAAAAGAAAATAACAAGACACTTAAACAAGATGCAACCCCAGACACCCAGTTCACCAAAGGCAAATCCAAAGGACAATGAGTGGGACAATCTGAAAGCTCCCACCAGGTTACTCTGAAGTGGTAACAACAAAGCAATTGAATGAGGCTCTAGAAAAAATGAAGTCAGAAATGATCTCTCAGATAACTACAAAGATTACCAAAATACTCACTATGCTTAACAACATTAGAGTAGACACCGAAAAAAAAAAAAAAATAGATGAGCTTAAGAAAATTAAGGAAGCTCAAAAAAAATTATGGAAGCTCAGTATAGGAAACAAGTAGAATCAATCCATAAAGCAGATTCAAGCAGATGTCCAGGAGAATAAAAAATCCACTGAAAGTATTCATAGTATACTAGGCCAGTGTAAGGACAGGATCTCAGATATTGAAGACAGGCTTGCAGTTAGTGATCAGGAAAAGAAAGATTTCTTAACATTAGCAAGAGATCATGAGAAATCAATCCAGCAACTACTAGATGAGACAAAGAAGAGTAAGTTAAGATTGGTTGGAGTCAATAAAAAAGCAGGAGATAACATAACTGACACTTTAAAAATGATCACAGACATCATAACACAAAACTTTCCTAGTAGAAAAAAGGAATTTGACATATAAATAAGTGAGGCATATAGAACTCTAATTACCAATGATCAAAAAAAATCTACATCCAGGCATATTATAGTCAAGATTCCAGAAATTCAACACAAGAATAGAATTCTAAAAGCCATTAGAGAAAAGAAACAAATCATCTGTAAAAGAAAGCCCATCAGAATTACAGTTCACTTCTCAGAACAAACTCTTGAGTCAAGAAGAGCTTGAAGTGAAGTACTTCAAGTTCTAAAGAAAAACAACTTTCAACCCAAATTGATGTACCACACAAAACTATCTTTCAAAATTGATGGAGAACAATGAACATCTATAACTGAAGAATGAACTTTAGGAATAACAGGGGTTAAGAGCAGAATATGTTCATTGAGAGAAAGAAAGCTCTATGGAAGCTCTTAGAAACAGAAGGGGTCTCACATGGGTTGCCGTACGGGAGAACTTTAAAACATGAGTTGCACAATATAAACTGTATTTTAATTAATTTTATAAGTATTTGCTGAGTATTTAGTACTGGTAAACAAATAAAAGCTGGCTTGGGGTTATGAAAGTAGGAATGAGAGAGATTGGACCACCCAATGCATTATCTAAGAATAATGGGATAGGATTAAGTAATTTACTGAATATGAAAGGCCAAATGTAGGGATGAATCAGAGTAAACCCTGGGAGCTTCACCGGACTTAGTGGTAGAATTAAAAGAAAGGAAAAGAAAAACAGAACATGACATGGAGTCATATTGAATTTAGTATAGTAAGTCATTGTGGAGTGTTTCATAGGGTTCAGATATGGCTTTGATATAGTTGGTTTTCCATAGAGGGTAGCTATTAATGACTTCAGCTTTCTGTAATTGGAAAATGAAATTTTATCCCATGAGTAAATTAACTTTTAGTTAGTTGTTGGTTTTGCCTTTATGTTTTTTAGCTAAGCTACATATCCAGTTTCCAAAGCCACGTCCTGGTCATGAAGTAAAGTTGTCTTCAAAACAGTTTCAGAAATACATAGAACTGGTTGTATCTGAACTCAGGGGTGATGAATATCAAGTTCTGGAAAGTGTTGTGGAATTTCTGATGAACTCTGTGGAGAAGAGCCATACTGAGAGTCTGAGGAATTGTGCAAGATGGAAATGGTTGCATCAAATTCAACATGCTGCAGAGACAAGTGGGGTATCTCTGGAGCCAGTGTACACTGAGACCTTCAAGACTCTCAACCAGGTATGTTTCATAAGGGATATACAAGAAAAAAATCCTGGCAGTAAGTGATTTTCAATAACTTCATAAAAGCACATGATATTGGATACATCTAGAGATTCTTTTTTATTTTAAAGAGAAAAACAAAGAAGATATAAAATATAGATGTTTAATTTATCATTATAGGGAATAAATGACCCAAAACCTAAGTGAAATGTAACTGAAATAATTACTAGTTGGCACTATTGAAGCAAAGAAGATTGCTAGAAAGGTAGGATGTGGAAAAGATGTCTTGGGATTTCTAATTTTATTTGCAGTGAGAGTCAAATAAGTTAAAAAACAGACAGGCTAGCTCAGTGGTATAAGTGCCTGTCTGGTGAGCACAAGGTCGTATTCGATCCCCAGTACCAAAAAAAAGAAAAAAAAAGGTTGATAATGAAAAATATCATTAAGGAGATGCACAATTTAGGCTACATTTTCTTTGCATAATAATTTAGAAACTACATAATTATTTTTGAATGAAAGAATTTTTAATTTTTTATTAAAAAATTAAAAGAAAGGAGATTAAGATAAAAGAGGACATAACGACATAATAACATGGGTGAGAACAGAACAATTTAAGCATTATAAGTGTTTCACCACAAGGTAACATGACATAACGGTAGCTACCATAGTGTCTCTTTCCTTGAAATATTTGAGTATAACTTCATATATTATAGCATCAAACACAACATGACAGTGTAAAATCATTCAAGAGAATGAAAATATTACAGGGTATTTAGAATCAACTAACAGAAAATGAACAGTGGTTTCTATGTTATCTCCTTGTCTATAAGAAATTTTGTTTATACTATCACATATAATAAAATCCAATAAGATAAAACATGATAAACTGATGGAGAAAGAAGAACAAAAGCTTCATGGGACTTCAAAACAAGATGATATTAAATCAGCACTAACTATAATATTGTCTTGTTTTCTTCAGAATAACTGTTCATAACATCACAGATAATAAAATCAAACAACTCAGAATAAAACCATTCCAATTAATGAATGAAAACATTATAAGGCTTTGAAGCAATATAATGAGGAATCATGTTTACCACATACTTTTATGTATTCTTACCATTTCTTACACTAGGGGAACTATTCGGTATTTGTACATGTGAGTTTGGTTTATTTCACTTATGAGTATGGTCTCAAGCTGCACCCATTTATTTATAAATATCTCAATGTGAGCGTTCTTTATAGCTGAGTAGTACTCCGTTGTATAAAAATATCACAGCTTTTTTATCCATTCCTCTGTTGATGGATACTTAGGTTGTTTCCAAGATCTGGCTATTACAAATTGTGCTGCTGTAAGCACGGGTGCACATACATCATTGTGGTATGATGTTTTCAGTTTTTCTGGAAATGTGCCTAGAAGTGGAATAGCTGGAACAAATGGGACTTCCAATCCCAGCTTTTTGAGAAATCTCCAGACTGACCTTCACAATGGTTGCATCAGTCTACACTCCCACCAAGGGTGCAGGAGTGTTCCTTTTTTTCCCACAGCCTCTCTAGCTTTTGTAGTTGGTAGTTTTCTTGAGCCTGGCCATTCTTTCAGGAGTGAGATAGAATCTCAATGTGGTTTTAATTTGTATTTCTCTAACGATGATGAACATTTTTCAGGTATTTATTTGCCATTTGAATTTCTTCATCTGAGAATTGTGTATTCATCTCAGATGCCCATTTTTGGATTGGATCTTTGAATTTTGGGGTCTGACTTTTTAAAATTCTTTATATGTTTTAGACAGAAGTCCTTTGTCTGAGGGACAGTTCACTAAGACTTTTTCCCAGTTTGTGGGTTTTCTTTTCACTATGCTGGAGATTTCTTTTGAACTGCAGAAGCTTTTTAATAAGAGGCGATCCCAGTTATTGATTCTGAGAAGTATTTCCCATGCGGTTTTAAGTCCTGTCCATGAATTCTCTACCTACCCCTATGTCTTCATGGTTTTTACCCAATTTGTCTTCCAATAGATTTAGTGTTTCTGTTTTAATATTCAGATCTTTGATCCACTTAGATTTTAATTTAGTATATAGTGATAGGCATGGATCTAGTTTTAGTTTTTAGCATGTGGAGAGCCAGTTTTTCCAATACCATTTATTAAAGAGACTGTCATTCTTCCAGTGAACGTTTGGCCCCTTTATCAAAGATAAGGGGTTGAGTGTGTTTTTAGTTGTGGTTGTATCTTCTAATCTATTCCATTGATCTTCAGCTGTTTTGATTCCAATACCTTGTTGATTTTACTACAGTTGCTTTGTAGTATGACTTCAAGTCAGGGATTGTGATGTCTCCTGCCTTACCTTTGCTTTTTAGAACTGTCCTAGTCTAGGTCTCTTCTGGTTCCAGATGAATTTGAGGAGTGATTTCTCTAGATCTATAAGGTATGTTGACGGTATTTCTATTGGGATTGCATTGAATCTGTATAACAGTTTTGGGAGAATGGCCATTTTCACAATATTTATTCTTCCTATCCATGAGCAAAGGATGTCTTTCCATCCTCTGAGATCCTCTTCAATTTTTTTTCAGTGTATTATAATTTTCCCTATATAGGTCTTCCACTTCTTTTGTGAGAATAATTCCTAAATATTTCATTTTTTGGTTGCTAGTGTGAAGGGTGTGACTTCTCTTATTTCTCTCTCTGTGATTTTGTTGTCAGTATATAGAAACCCTATTGATTTTTGAGTATTGATTTTGTATCCAGCTATGTTGCTGAATTTATTTATTATATCTAGGAGTCTTTCAATGGAGTTTTGGGGGTCTTCTATGTAGCATATCATGTCATCCACAAATAATGATAATTTAACTTCCTCTCTTCCTATCATTACCCCTTTTATTTCTCTCTCTTGTCTAATTGCTCTGGCTAATATTTCCAGTACTGTATTAAATAGGAGCAGTGCTAAGGCACATCTTTGTCTTGTGCCTGATTTTGAGGTAAAGGCCTTCAGTTTTTGGAAACTTAGTGTGATATTGGCTGTTGGTTTGTCATAGACGGCCTTTATTATATTGAAGTAAAGACTATCTAGTCCAATTTTCTGCAAGGTTCTTAACATAAATGAATGTTGGACCTTATCAAAAGCTTTTTCTGCATCTATAGAAATGACCATGTGATTCTTACTTTTGGCTTATTGATATGGTGGATTACATATATTGATTTACATATGTTGAACCATCCCTGCATGCCTAGGATGAATCCCACTTGGTCAGGGTGTATAATCTTCTTGATGATTTGTTGCATCCTATTTGCCAATATTTTATTGAGGATTTTTGCATCTGTGTTTGTTAGGGAGATTGGCCTGTATTTCTATTTTTCAGTTGGATCTTTCTCAGGTTTTGGTACTAGAGTAATGTTTGCTTCCAAGAATGACTTAGGAAGGATTGCTTCCCTTTCAATTTCATTGAAGAGTTTGAGGAGTGTTGGCATTAAGTCTTCTTTGTATTTCTTATAGACTTCTACAGTAAATCCATCTGGGTCTGGGCTTTTTTTTGTAGATAAGAACTTAATTACATTATCAATTTCATTAATAGAAATTGGGTTATTCAGCAGTTTTACATCTTCTTGACCTAGCTTTGGTGCTTTGTATGTTTCTAGGAATCTATCTATTTCTTCTGTGTTATCAAATCTATGAGAGCACGGGTTTTCAAAATAGGCGCTGATGATCTTCTGTATTTCTACAAAGTCTGTAGTGATTTCACCTTTTTCATTCCTTATTGCATGAATTTGAGCTTTCTGTTCCCTTTTTTAAATAAGGTTGGTTAGGGGCTTATCAATTTTACTTATTCTTGTTTCTTTTTGTTTTTGGTCTTTTTCCTTTTTATCGGTACCCGGGAGCGAACTCACGACTGCCTGCTTGCAAGGCAGGTGCTTATGCCGCTGAGCTAAATCCCCAGCCCTAACTATTGACTTTTTTTTTTTGTCTTTTTCATTTTTATCAGTACCTGGGATCGAACTCAGGACTGCCTGCTTGCAAGGCAGGCGCTTATGCCGCTGAGCTAAATCCCCAGCCCCAATTTTACTTATTCTTTCAAAGAACCAACTCTTTGATTCATTGATTCTTTGGATTGTTTTCTTACTCTCTACTGCATTAATTTCTGCTCTGATTTTTATAATTTTTTCCCTTCTTTTGGCTTTGGGCTTGACTGCTCTTCTTTTTCTAGATGTTTGAGTTGTAGCATCAGATTATTTATTTGCATTTGTCCTGTTTTCCTGATATGGGAACTCAGTGCAATACATTTTCCTCTGAGGACAGTTTTCATTGCATCCTACAGATTCCAGTAAGTTGTGTTTGTATTTTTGTTTGCTTGTAGGTATTGTTTAATTTCTTCTTTAATTTCCCCTGTGACCCACTGATTACTCAAGAGTGTGTTATTCAGTTTCCATGTGTTTGTGGGATTTTTGCAGTATCTTTTATCATTAATTTCTAATTTCATGGCACTATGATCCAATAACATACATGGGATAATTTCAACTCTTTTACATTTATTAAAATATGTTCTGTGGGCTAATATATGATCTGTTTTAGAGAACATCCTATGTACTGCTGAGAAGAATGTGTATTCTGCGGTTGTTGGATGGAATACTCTGTATATATCTGTCAAGTCCATTTGTTCACATGTGTGATTCAGTTCTGTTATTTCTTTGCTGATTTTCTGTCTGGTTGATCTGTCCCTTGGTGTCAATGATGTGTTAAGGTCTTGTGTTATAATTGTGTTACTGCTAATTTGGTTTTTCATTTCTGTTAATACTTGCTTTATATAATTGGGTGCTCTGGACTTTGTGCATATATATTTAAGATTGTTATCTCTTCCTCTTGAAGTTTTCCCCTAACCAGTATGTAATGACCTTCTTTATCCCTTCTAATCATTATTGGTTTGAAGTTCATATTGTCTACAAGCAAAATAGCTACCCCTGCTTTTTTGAGGGAGGTTTCTGTTGCATGAAGTACTGTTTTCCATCCTTTGACTTTTAGTCTGTGAGTATCCTTTTGGGTTAGACAGCATATGGTTGGATGTTGCTTCTTGATCCATTCTGCCAGTCTATTTCTTTTAATTGGTGCATAGAGACCATTTACATTAATGGTTATAACTGTTATATGCTGGTTTATTATTGACATGTTATCTTTCTGCTGTTGAATCTTTATCTTTCCGTTCTGTTTGTCTGCTTTGCTTAGTGGTTTTTTTCCTAAGTGTATCTAAACTGTCTTTCAGTATTCTTTGCAGGGTTGGCTTGGTGTTCATGAAGTTCTTCAGCTGTTCTTTGTCATGGAAGTATCTTATTTCTCCATCGATTTTGAAGGACAGTTTTACAGGGTACACGGTCTAGGTTGGAAATCATTTTCCTTTAGGATCTGAGATACTTCACTGCATGCTCTTCTTGACTTTATTATTTGTGCTGAGAAGTCTGCTGTGATTCTGATAGGTTTTCCTTTATAGATGATCTGTCTTTTCTCTCTGACAGCTTTTAATATTCTATTCTTATGTTGGATTTCTGGGATGGTGATTATTATATGTCTGGGTGTAGTTTTATTTTGGTTATGACTATTTGGAGTTCTATATGCTTCACTGATTCTGATGTTAGTTTCCATTCTCATGTTTGGGAAATTTTCAGCTATTACTTCTCTAAATATCCTCTTGACATCCTTTATGTTGTCCCCTTCTTTTTCATTTATCCCTATCAACCTTATGTTGTTTTTCTTTGCATCACCTTGCAGCTGTTGAATTGTTATTTCCTGATTCCTTGTTATTTTTAAAAGATCTTGCCTTTCCTGTTCACTAGCTGCAATCCTGTCTTCAAGGTCTGAAATTCTATCTTCACTTTCATTGAGGCAGTTTTTACAGCTTTCAATGGAATTTTTGATTTCCTGTGTATCTGTTTGCATCTGCTTTATTTGTTTTTTATATTGTTCATCCAGGGATTCTACCTTTTTGTTTAGTTCCTCCAATTTTTTAACTGTGTCTTCATTAGATATGTACAGCATCTCTTTCATTTCTTTTATTGTTTCTTCTTTTATTTGGGAGATTATTTCTAGTTTGAATTCCTTTAAAGCTTCCTGGAGTTGCTTCTTTATTTCAATTGCTATTATTTCAGATATTTCAGGTGTATGTCATATATTTTCTTCTATGTACATAGCTCCTAAGGTTTCTTGGGATTGGTTGGAGGTTTTGAGATTGCATTTTGGTCTTTTGCTTTGTCATTTTCCTATATTTCTGTGCTTCAAGTGTTGTTCCAAGGCTTCCCCTGGATATGTTGGAGATTGTCTCTGGTGCCCTAGGCCCCTGGAACTGAATGGAAGTTGCTGAGCCTGGTCCAGTTAGGCCCTCAGGCCCTCCCGTGCCTCCTTCAGTGTTCCAGGTAGCTGGGCAGGCACCTAACCACTGTGGATGATGAGTTAAAGCTCTCCCTGGCCAAGTCCGATGCCCTGGGACTCACTTCACCTACTCTCAAATCCTGTAATTAAAGAAGGTCACTGGGTGTAATATAGTTGGTCCACAAAACCTCCCAAGGCTAGTCTATTGTGCCTGAAACCTGCCAAATGTAGCCCAGTGTGGCTGGGCTCTGGGCAGGTCCTTGATCTCCAGAAGAGATGATCTTATAGTCTCCTTGGGGCTCCAGATGCACGCGGACTTACCTCAGCCACTAGGTGAGTTTCCTGATTTGGGATAAGGTCTAAATGAAAGTTTTATAACCCATAAACTCATTCTAAAATAGAACCCAGGGCTATACAATATTTCACAGCACTGCCTAGAAGCAATGAGACTTACAGAATCCTGTTTCTTAAAACACATGACCCTCAGGGGCCACTGTCCACAAGCTTGCCACCTCCTCCAAAACTCATAGATTGCTACTCCTGTTGGACAGAGCAGCACAGCTGTCTTCTATATATGTCACAGATTCCACTGATCCAGAGAATGGACAGTTGTCTTAGCTAAATACCAACACTTGCTCATTGAAATCACCTTCTGAATGAGTGCATTTTCCAATTTTATTAGAAATGATTCAGCCAGGACTGCTTAAGAGGAAAAAAAAGGCATTACTTTTATTTGCTTCAGAGATCTGTGGTATCCTAAGAGAACTTTTAATATATGTTTATAAATACATGGTCAGAAACATTTTGTTACAGGATGCGGAAGTCCATGGAAATAAAAAGATAAGTGCTCACATTTCCCTCTTGGAAGAAAACCGACTTCTACCAGATAGAGGGACCATTTTATTGAGAAATGTGGCTTGCACCCTAGATGATGCTCCATTTGTATTGAACAAAGTGCTCTACCAGGATATGAAGGGAATCAGGTAAGAGCTTCTTGAAGAGTTTGGTTTTGTCCTTCTGAAAAATAATTCCCTTTCTGAAGTAAACTGGCATCCAAATCCTAGTGAGCAGCTCTGAAGGGGAATGTCTCCAGTCACTTGTGAATCTAGAGTGGGACCTGATGGGTTTCCAATCCCAAATGATTTCATTTGGTCATTTCAAGAACTTACTTGTAAGCAACGACTCACTACCCAGAGACTACACTTCACAGTATCAGGTCTATAAGTTATCTCTCTTCATTCTGTTTATATATTTTCTATGATAATATCTACAGTTGTGTTTTAATTATCTTCCTCAAGTCAGGCCTTTCAAACTTGTGATGTTATCTGAGTTTTCTCCTTTTATATATAATGATTATAGATGGCAAATTGATCCAGTTTCTTCTGCAGTTTAATCTGAACCCCTGCCCTGAGGTTTATTCCATCCTTGTATCCTTTTTTCTCAGCTTTACAGTAGTGGATGAAGGGAAGCCAATTCATGTCCCACAAGTTCAGTATCATGGAAATGTCTTTTTCTGGGACAATTCTAAGAAGAATGATTGTAAAGGGTCATTCCTGGCTCTGCCTCTCCAGGATGCATATATGAGGGTCTTTGGAGTCCTGGCTGTTGACACTCTTAGAGATCCCCATGAAATAAACATCTTCCTGCCTCACGAGATCAGATTCTATCAGGTAAGTCATAGAAGTCTTCAAGAGCAGAGGAAGAACGGCCTTTCCTATATTTCTTACAGAGTGAAGCCAGATGAAAGGAAGGCTGTATATATATTTATGTTATCATGCTTGGTCTTGTTCCCTGTATCAGACCTTGAAGAAGTTCCCTTTATTTATGAAAATACTCTCAGCCTTGATTACACATTCATTCATCATCCTTTCTGGGAATATGGTTAATATGTGTCTCATTGCATTAATAATAAGAATAGAATTTGTGTTGTGGAACAGAATCCAAAGATTAAATCCACAAAGTAGGATGAATTTTTAGAAGGGATATGTTTGTTTTATTGGTAATGCTACCTGATAATCTTGTGTTCTTTCCATGAAGGTTACTAAATATGATATGCATCCCCATAGCTCTTATTTTCAGTATTATAATTTTTAAGGACAAAGAATAAATAAAAAGCCCCAAATGTTTTACTGAATATTCATTTATGTCTTCAAATTAGGTCACAAAAATGATAGGCATTTGTAAGACGATGAAATAACTAGAACATCTCTCCATTTATTTTTATGTAATTCTGTGGATATAAATTTCAATGAAGGAATATTTAAAGCTTTTGTGGAGGCAATGGGCTGTGTATTATTGCAGTTAATCAGGAGCATGCTATATCCTTGTAGCTTATTCCGCTGTAAAATCTTGGCTATTCATGTTCACTCATTATTATTTTTCATTTTTTCTTTCCACTTACTGAATAGATAACTGAGCAAAGTGGTTGGGTATCTTTCTCTTCCTTATATCCTTGAACATGTAAGATTCATTCTCATCTGACAAAAACAACATGAAGAAATTAAGGGGTAAAATGGAGGAGTTATCAGTAGGTGAACTATATAGTCCTATTAGTATGTCCAAATAAATTATAAATTGGCCTTCCAGTCCTTAACAATAAAGGCCCTAGGTTACCATTAAAGGACTTGAGTCCTCACATAATATAAATGCATATGATTCTGAAGAATTTGTGGAAGAGTTTCTTGACAACAGGAACACATATAGGTTCTACGAACTTCCCATCCCTTTTCTGTAGGACAAGATCTCTTTACCACTGTTTATTTTTTTTTAATTTTATTTAAGGAGAAAAGAAAAAAAAAGCAGAGAAAGGGTACAAGTTATACAGATTTACAGAAAAAAAATAAACAGTAGGAAATCACTAGTTAATGGGTTACATATTGTCATCTTAGAAATAATTGTTCAAGTCACAAAATTAAAGCTTGTAAAGTGGACATTCCAACAATGATACTGCAAACAGTTCTGTTCGATGATCCAATAAAACTCTGTGATATCATTTCCTATCTTATACACTTAAATATACATGCAGTTATATAGTTTAGAGCACTTTCTTTTCCTCTCTTTTGTACAATGACTATTACACATTTTGGGTTTCATTGCTCCCACGGTTCTTAATACTTTTTTGAAAGAGAGTAAAACCAAATGTGACATAACAGAACAGAATCAGTCAAGTCAAAAGGGTGGACATAATAGATAATGTAAAAACATAATACAAGGTGATCAACAATGGTTACCATAATGCCTCCTGCTATCTCTAATAGAATTGCCTATATCTTTAGTTATAATACGATTGAACAAAACAGTAAAGAATAAAACCGACAAAACCAAAACTTTGGAGACATTGTAGGTCTTCAAAAGTAGATAAAAGTCAACGAGAATGGGCGTTATAATGAATCTCATTATCTTCTCAGCTGATGCCTAAACTTTCGAACCTGATACTATCCAGCAAAACAGAATAGGGGAACATCAGTCAAAAACAAGATGGTGAGAGTAATACAGGGCTTTAAATTGAGATAATGGAAAGTCAAAGTGGGTTACTATACTATATCCTGCTATTTTTTTCCTTTAATTAAAAGGATAAAAATAAAAAAGTAAATAATGGAGTGGAGATTGAGATAAAAGAGGGCATAACAGTGAAACAGTACAGATCAAAACATAACCATTTAAGCAGAATAGTGTTTCACCACCAGATAATCCTGACCTAAGTAGTTACCATATTGTCTCTTTCCTTGAAATCCTTGAGTACAACTTCGTATACTGTAGCATTAAGTATATCAAAACAATGTAAAACCATTTAAGAGAATGACAGCATTACAGAGTATTTAGAATCGACTAACAGAAAATGAACAATGGTTTCTGTATAATCTCCTTGTCTTTAAAAGGTTTTTGCTTATACTATCGTACATAATAAAATCCAATAAGATACAACCTATTTAGACCATTGGAGACAGAAGAACAAAAGCTAGATAAGACTTCAAAACAAGATGATACTAAATCAGTATTACTTATTAAGATGTCATTTTCTCCAAAGTAGCTGTTCCTATCATCCAATCTTCTCTGCCTCATTTCTGTTGAGCTCTTTTTCTGTCAGTAGCTGTCAGTTTGTCTTCTTCATTTTGTTCTCTGCTCCATTCATTGTGGCCTCCCCACCACTATTTCTGGATTCTTTGTATTTTTCTTTTTTAGAATATCCTGCAATACTCTCTGTAGAGTTGAATTGGTGGTTGCAAATTCCCCCAGTTCCTCTTTATCCTGGAAGCACCTTGTTTTTCCATCAATTTCCAGGGACAGTTGTGCAGGATATCTCAATCTTGGCTGGAGATTATTATCTTTCAAAGCTTGAATTATTTCCCCCCATGCTCTTCATGATTTGATGGTTTGTGCAGAGAAATCTGCTGTAATTCTGATGGGTGTTCCCTTGTAAGTGGTCTGTTTCTTGTCTCTGACAGCTTTTAATATTCTGTTCTTGTATTGAATTTCTGGAATTTTTAATATTATATGCCTGGGTGTTGCTCTGTTTGGGTTGTAGGTAGCTGGGGTCCTGTATGCCTCATACATCTGAGTATCTTTACCTTTTGCTAAATTAGGAAAATTCTCCTGGATTATTTCTGTGAGTAGCTTTTGTAGTTCACTTGTTTGTGTCCCTACTTCTTCTTTTATGTTCTTAATCCTTAAGTTATGGCTCCTCTTATCATCTTCTTGTCTTTGTATTATTGCTGTTTGTTTCTTTGTTATTTTTAAGAAGTTTTTCATTTCATTCTCCCATATTACAAGTCTGCCCTCCAGTTCAGATAGTCTGTCCTTAGTTTCTTTCAAGCTGTTATGCCAGTCTTCAATAGACTTCTTAGTATCTTGGTAGTCCCTTTGAACCTGCTTCACGTATTCTATGCTTTCTCTGTTTTCTCCATCAAACAATTCTCCCCTCTTTTTCTGTTCTTCCATTCCACCATCTGTTTTTTCTTGGGTGGTGCTTAGCATTTCTCTAACTATTCTACATACTTCTAGCTTCAGGTCATTGATAACTTCATTCCTGAATTGATCTATGAGGCTCTCTATATGGCGCTTTATGTCTATTGGTGCGGTGTCCACTATTGCCTGTTTCTCAGAATTGGGGGCCGAGGAGCCTTTCTGGTTGCTGCCTTTTCCCATATTCTCTGTTCCTTACATATGCAAGCTTATATAGGAGACCTAGCTTCTCTCCCTGTCAGCCACAGCCTGATTGAATTGAGCCGGTTAGATGTTCTCGCCCACCGCAGCGCACCAGGGAGTTACGGACCAGGCAGCCTACGCGGGGCCCGCCCCTCCCGGCCACCGTCAGGCTCTGGGATCTGGGTTGGGCCAGCCTACCGAGTCCGCCAGCAGCGTCACGCAAGCCAGGCACTTTTCACCAATCCCGCACGAGAGGGGGATGTGTGGCTGGAGTCACCACCACGCCCTGCTCCCGCAGGACTGCACGGGCCCAGAAAGTCCTCCGCTGGAGTCAAACTGTGGTAGAATATCAGTTTCTCTCACTCACCTCACCACAAGTCAGTGCACGCCCCCCTGCCCATCCTGTTTTCGACTCCGTTCGCAGCTTCCCATTCTCAAAGCTTCTGCGCGTCTCTCTCCTTGCCGAGCCGCTGTAGAGGCAGTCACCGTGCAGCGGGAAACCCAAATCGCGGCTTCCAATGGCGCGGGGTCCAGCCTCCACACTGAGGCTTATCTGTTCCTGCTTTAGCACCAGGACTGCATTCCAAGTTGGTTTCTCTCAGCCCAGTTTGTTCCTGAGTCAGCAGAGCATATCTCCACCTGCTTGTGTCTCCTTACTCCGCACCCTTCCTGACTTCTGAGCCGAGCCTTTCAGAGAGCCTCCGTAGTAGCTGTTATCTGTCCGCCATGTTCTCCCCTCTTTACCACTGTTGAAAGACTGTAATCTATCATATTGTAGACCTTGGGACTAAGCATAACCTACTGTTTATATGATGACACTAGCCATAGATGGAAACATTAGTCTTGGCATCAGATGAAGGCAGCTTCTATCCATCTGCCTAGGACTAGAATGTAGACTTTTAAATATTTTTCTCTCCTTTGTCTTCACTTTCATATGCTGCTGCTTCTGTTTCCTCTGCTTCTGTTTCCTCTGCTTCTGTTTCTTCTTCTTCTGCTTCTGTTTCTTCTTCTTCTTCTTCTTCTTCTTCTTCTTCTTCTTCTTCTTCTTCTTCTTCTTCTTCTTCTTCTTCTTCCTTTTTCTTCTCTACTGGAACATATCACAAATTTCCCTGGACTATCATCATAAAACTGCTGATTTGTGCTACTGTAACCAAGGGTATGCAAATGGATGAACCTTGACGTCATAACACTAAGTAAAATAAATCTGACACAGAAGATTAAATATTTCATGGTTTCTCTTATATGAGAAATCCAAGGTATAAATAATTTAAACTGCAAAATAAAATATAGATTTTAAGAAGCTGAAAGTAGATCTTTCAGAGATACAAAAGAGATCTAACGATAGGAGAGAAGAGTAAAGGGAGGAGAAGAGAAAGTAAAAAGGATTAAGATGCTACATGTGTAAGTACCAATTCCCCATGGTGAATGAATTCATTATGTATCTCAAAATTACACTAATAAAAAATAAATAATACACATGGATATGCATATATCACAATAATATAATGTCTTTCTTTCCTTCAATAATATACCTAAGAGAGGTATACCTGGGTCAAATGGAATAGTGGTTGTACTACTTTCCATTTCCACCAACAACATAAAAGAGTTCCTTTTTCTATACATTCTTGCAAGCATTCATTGCTTTTTTTTTTTTTTTAACCTTTGAGACAGGGTCTCACTGTGTAGTTCACTCTACCCTGGGCTCAATATGTAGCCCAGGCTGGCTTCAAACTTATGGCAATTCTCCTGCCTCAGCCTCTTGAGTACTAGAATCACAGGTACACACACACACACACACCTACTACTTTTTGTTTTCTTGATAATAGACATTCTGATGGGATTAAAATGGCATTATTATTATTTAGGTTAGCATTTTACATTTTTTTTGTTGTTGTTGTCTTTTTCTTTTTTGTCAGTACCGGGGATCGAACTCACGACTGCCTGCTTGCAAGGCAGGCACTTATGCCGCTGAGCTAAATCCCCAGCCCCCTCCCTACCTTTTTGAGACAGGATATCTCTAAGTTGTTCAGGCTGGCCTTCAATTTGCAATCCTGTCTCTGCTGCCAAGCAGCTGGGATTTACTTGTGTACTTTTGCCTCCAAACCCTTTAATTTCTTGATGATTCCTGTTATGTAATAGAATATGGAATGCCACTGATGTAAGAAGTGGATTATCATTAATTTAAAAGATAGCACAATTAATACATTGTTAATTATTTTGCTATCTTAAAAAGAAAAGGCAACTTAAATTTTCTGTCTTTGCAGGGTGTTGCCAATGTCTTCAGCAATGCTTACCACTATGTTCACAGCAGGGAGCACATCTTGCATGTTGTGATCACTGGCATTGGCTGGCTGCTCAGCAACACTTCCAGCATTGTCTCCATCACTACCTATTTTGTTGAGGCCAGCCCAAACCAGGTAGGCAAGGCTCATCATGTTAGATCTCTTCTGTGTCAGATGTCAGGGCGGTGTGGTTGTGACATCTGTCATCCCAACGATCACAAGGGTTGATTCAGCTGATCTAACTGCCTAAGCAAGTGGCTCCTTCCTCCCTCACTTTCCATATGCATCCCTCCTGAAGCTGTGTGCTAAAAGAGGACAACCCTATCAACAGAGGAGACTATTCTTCAGTCAAGGCTATATGAGTTGCTGTATTCCCCTACTAGTACCTCCAAATAAGTTCTCAAGATTTCCTCAATATAACAAAGTTACTAGATGTTAAGCTAACCAGGGAACATATTTCCCCAGTTAGCATATTTCCAGGGACCTCAACTCAAGATTCTTGGTTATGACTGACAGGAATCTGCATTAGACAAAAGATAAAATTGACTGATCCATGTGACCAAAAGGAAGAAAGCACAGGAGTTGAGCTGCTTCCAGAATGACCAGATCGAGAGATTCAATAGCATCAGGGCTCTCTCATGTTCTTTATTATCTCAATTCTCATGTTTTCTTCCCTCTGACATTGGCTTTGTTCTTCCAAATAAAGATGGACTTTCTTTATATGCAAGTCAGATGCTTAGTAAAGCTTCCAGTGAAATGTTCCAGTTTGGAAAATTCCAGAGATAAAACTCTTTTATTTTATTTCAAAACAAAAAAAAGAATAAAAACTATGACACAGAAATTCAAAACAAAATAATGAGATTAACAATCGCTAATATATTGTGTATTGTTATCTTCAAAGTAGTTGTTCAGATAAGAAAACCTTTTTGATTCATCCTGCGGTATGTTCCAAGGCAATACTCCCAAGAGGTAATACTCCCATCATCACATGAGTGATAAGAGAATGAATAAGGGACTCTTATTTTGGAAAGACACATTTATGTCACACCAATAATGCTTTTTAAACAGGGTCCCCATCCAAAGATCAGTGGAACAGATGAGAAGATGCAGAAACAACTTCAAACTTACTTAGCCACCTTATCTTTGACAAAAGTGCCAAACACATTCACTGAAAGAAAGACAGCCTCTTTAATAAATAGTGCTGGAAAAACTGGCTCTGCACATGCTGAAGATTAAATTTGGACTCATATTTTTTCACCATGTGCTAAACTAAATTTAGAATGGATCAAAGATCTAAATATTAAAACAGAAACATTAAATCTGCTAGGAGATAGAATAGATAAAACTCTCGAATATATTGGTGTAGGTAAAGACTTTATGAATAAAACCCAAATTGCACAGGAACTATCATAAAGAATCAACAACTAGGATCTCATCTTATTAAAAAGTTTTTGCACAGCAAGAGAAACCACCAACAGAGTGAAGATACAGCACACAATGTGGGAGAAAATGTTTGTTTGCCATCTTTTCCTCAGACAAAGGATTACTATAAAAAACTAAAAAAATCAGGCCAATCCAAACTAAAAACCCAATCCAAAAATGGGCATCTGAGATGAACACATACTTCTCAGATGAAGAAATACAAACAGCAAATAAACATATGACAAAATGTTCAACATCATTTGTCATTTGAGAGATGCAAATTAAAACAAGGCTGAGATTCCACCTCACCCCAGAAAGAATGGCTATTATCAAGAAATCAACCAACAACAAATGCTGCAGGAGCTGTGGGGAAAAAAAGAACCCTTTTCCACTGTCTCTTAATTCATTGAAAAGAAAGAGCTGTGTTAATATTGTTTGGACAATTAAATGCCTATGTATTGTACTCTGAGTAAAGAAAACACACAATTATTAACTGTTGCTACTCTGCTATTATCTTGTTTTTAAATTTTAGGAGGTTTTTTTCCTCTTTAAAATAAAACAAGTAAACACAGAGAACCTTCTCTGTGTGATCCCTGAGAGATGAGAGGACAGGAGAAGTGTGATACCTCAATGTCTGTTCTGATATGCACAAGCCTGTGTACAAAAAGACTCAGTGTCTCAAGAAGTTCAGAGCAGCCGCCACTTGACAGCTAGTGGGGAAACCAAGAGGTCAGAATTTCATTTTCCTAAGATTTTGAGAGGGTTAAGTGACGGACATGTGTGCCTGGTTCGTTATCTTAAATCACATCTTACCTTTGACAAAAAACCCAGAGACGAGTCAATGATTTTTACTTTTACCTCATACCATTCCTTATATAATAGATTTTCTGCTTGAATGAGAGGAGAGACTATTAGGAGGGGAAAAAATACAATACTACAATTAATGCTTCACCATCCATAATAGAAAACAAAAATTTTCTTTTTCAGGTTCTTCATTTTGCCATCCATAATACAAAACAAAAATTTTCTTCAAAAATTTTGTGACTCTCTCCAGAACATTCTCTCCATTTATCCCATTACCTGTAAGCCCTCTATGAAACAAACTACAAAATGTTATCAAGGAATATAAATATTTTAATAAAGTAGAAAGTTTTATGAAGTAAAAAGTATTTCTCACAAGAAAGCAACTTTATAAAGGCATAAGTTCTCCCAAAAATTATTTTCATATTTTAAAAAATTTGTTGAAAAAAATCCCAGAATGATTTTTAAAAATTTGATAAAAGACTAAACTTCATAGAACAGCTAAGAATAGGAACATTAAAAGAAAATTTACAATCTTGGTTGGAAGAATGATTACTATGCTCATGCCAAAGGTTGGCACAGTTGACACATTGTCCATGTAAAAATGGACAATTTTCTTGCACCAAAATAACAAGTGAAATTAGATGGGGAGGGGGTGCAGCTCAGATTCAGAGCATTTGCTAAGCACATGCAAGCCTTGGGCTCAAACTTCAGCACTGTTTATTAATTAGCTTATGACAAACTAGGGGAAAATCACTGTCATAGACAAATCAAAGAGACAGTTTAATCTAAAAGGTAAATAAGCATAGGACATGTCTATTTTAAAGTAGAAATAGGTCTAGGGATTTAGCTCAGTGGCTAAAAGGGCTTGCGTAGTAAGTGTGAGGTTGTGAGTTTGATCCCTGGTACCAAAAAAAAAGTAGAAATAAAAAACATCATATAAAATCTCCATAAATATGAAAAAATATTCTGTTAGCAATGAAATAAACACAAAGCACAAAGTAACCTTTTACTACTAAATTAGAAAATAAATTTAAAGCTGTAATTTGAAATTAGACATTAGATGTAGGTACTGGGTAGGCAGGTGGGCTTAAGAGCTGAACGGAAGGTGCTGGGGATTTAGCTCAGTGGCATAAGCACCTGCCTTGCAAGCAGGCAGCTGTGAGTTCAATCCCTGGTGCCAAGAAAAAGACCAAAAAAAAAGAGCTGAACGGAAAGAAATCAAAGTTATTGCATAAATGGTGTTCAAAGCCATGAGACGGGCTATACAACATTGTGAATGTGTCAGCCCTACTGATTTGTACCCTTATGAGTGTTTAAAAAGCTAGTAGACCATGAGAATGGATGGAACGATCAAAGGAATGGGTGAGAATAGAAAATAAAAAGGTTGAGGACTGAGTTCTAAGCCTCTCAAAGTGTTTGCAATCACTGTGATCAAAATTGTATTGACTGTGACCCACAACATGAAAAACATTTCACAACCTGAGCATTTACACACACATACACACACAAAAGTTTCACAAAACAATCGCTAGGAAAAAAAAAAAAACAATAGCTAGTTTTACTACATGTGTTTTCTAATATTGTCTATTCTATTTAATTCTTTTTTAATGTAAAAAAAATCAGAAAACTAAAGCTGAAACCAAGTTACACAGTGTGTAATAAGACAGGAGAATGAATAGACACTAAAAAGGTAAGGGGAAAAATAAGTGAGTCACAGAAGAAAAAGCTGGGAAGAAGAGTATAATTGGAGCATTTTGCTGAAAATTCTATGAAATTTTAACTGAGGTTCCATATCTCACTACTGGGTAACCACTGACGGGCTTGCTTAATTTATAGATTTTTGGTCTAACTAATAGCTAGAAAAATAATAAAAAATAAGCTTATTTTTAGGCATCATATTCACATATTATGAGCCCTTCATTTGCTCCTGATTTAACAGCAATTTATACAATTCAGAAAGAAAAGCAATTTATACTATTTCAGAAAAAAAAACAAGAAAGGAACTTTCTGGTTCTGGCTAGAGATTTAAACGTAGAAAATACAACTTGGGTGAGATTTTTGAAAACTATTTGGCTAGACATAGTGTTGCACACCTGTAATTCCAGCATTCTGGGAGAGCGAAGGAGAATTTCAAGTTTGAACACATCTTGGGCAACTAGGTGGCTTACTGAAACCCTGCTTCATAGATAGATAGACAGATAGATAAGTAGATAGATAGAGTGGGGATATACCAAATAGAAAAATGCTAGAAACCCAGTTGTCAATAACATATAATCTTTTTTGTTTTGTTTTTGTTTTTTGGGACAGGGTCTAGCAATATAATCTAGGCTGTCCGTGAACTCACTTATGTAGCCTAGGCTGTCTTTGAACTCACAGCAGTCCTCCCACCTCAACTTCCTGTGTGCTGGGCTTACAGAGTGCACGCACTACCACACCTGGCCAATGCAGGATAACCTTAACAATTTTCCAAATGCTGTGATTCAAACGTGTCCTCCAAAAAGCTCATGTTGAAAACTTAATCCCCAAGCAACACTTCAGGGAGGTAAAGCCCCGATAGGAAGTATTTTGGTCACAAGAGAGCTCCAATATCAGAAATAAATTAACACTGATTATAAAGCGGCTAGAGTCTGTAAGTTTGATTGTTAGCCCTCTCATCATTTTCCCTACCACTATGAGATCACACAGCAAGAAGATCTTTGCAAGGTGCCAGCACCTTGATATTGGACTTCCTAGCCTCTAGAACCATGAAATGTTAAATTTCTCTTTTTATAAGTTACCCAATCTGTAGTATCCTGTTTGGCAACATATATCAAACTAAGCTACTAAATACAATGTTGAAAACATTTTTCATCTAAAGAGTTTTGAAGAACACTTGTGGCCATGTAGTGGACAGACAAAAGAAACCTTTCCCTTACAAAGCAGTTATTTATCTTCCAAGAAACATTCAGCATACAGCCTGTACAGATCCTCTTATCCTGTTTTCTCTTTTATTCCAAAATCTATTTTTTTAAAGCAGGCTCATAAATACCCTTATTTTATTCCTCCTAACTAAATTTGTCTTCCTAAAATTTAGTGTATTTTACAGAATATAGTAATACTACTTTCTTATAAACTAGTGTCTACAAAAAAATTGATCAAGATTTTAAAATATTTTCACAGTCTACAAATAGGTCATGACCTCCAGGTTGGAAGCCTATAAATGAAAGGGAAATAAATCAGAAACAAGAATTTCAAGGAATGCCTAGTAAAAACCAGGAATGAGTAGCATCTGTTGTAGTCAAGGTTTGTAAGGAAAACAACTTAATATAGGACACATAATTTATAGTATTATTTTATCATAATCCCCAAAGAGTCAAACACAAAAAGTTCAGGAAATGTGTCCACACTAAAGACCCCAAAGAATCCAGCTGAGGCCACACATCGCTCAGCAATGTCCTTCATGGTCCAGCTGAAGACCTAGAGTCTATGACAATGCCTTTCACAAGTCCAAATGGAGGCCTACAGCTCACAACAATGACTCATGCAAGTCTGTTTCATGAATCTGTCCTGGGAAGGCCCAAAGGTCAGCAGTTGAATCTTGAAAGTCTGTGCCAGCAGAATGAAAGTCTGTGCCAGTTACGCTGAGGGTTCTGCAGTTGAGCCAGGAAACGATGCTCAAAATAAGGACCACAGCACCCCCCAAAAGTACCACAGCCATCCTCAGCAACCACAAGGTCCTGAGCTTCTCTAACAATAAGAACAGCTGAGTTTATATCAGGAAGTCAGCATGACTAGCTTCTCCAGTAGATTAAACATCACACTCTTCCTCTCTGGAGCCAGGAAGCGATACTCAAAGTAAGGACCAGAGCTGCCCCCAAAGTGAACCACAGCCATTCTCAGAGACAAGGCCCCCAGCTCTTATGATTATCAGAGCAGCCAAATTCATATCAGGAAAGAAGTTTGATAAGCTCCTGTAGGACAATCAGTGGCAACAGGAGAACCAATACCACCACCTCTTCCTCTTAGTTCTCCTTTTTGTTTTGTTGGTAACAATCCTCAGGTGGGCCATTCATACCCGACACCAGTGACCCTGTTCAGCTGGCTGTTACAAACTGACCACCAGTTGTCAATCTACCACAGTGTCCCAAAAGCCAACAGAAGAAAATTATTTCAAGAAGGTAGTTATTCACTGAATCAGCTGGTGCCAAGAGGTACTTTTAAAATGAGGACTAGGGACTGCCCAATGATTTGAAAATGATTCACTCGTAACCTTGACAAGAACAGCATTTGTAGAGACAAAGATCTCACTGGATAATCTTTTTTGCATTTATTTTCTTTGGACATTTCTATATTTTTGAATGTTCTAAATGCACTTTTAATGTCATAAAAACTATATAAACACAATGTAATACCAGTACTCTGGAAGCTGAAACAGTAAGCTTACAAGTTTGAGACCAGCTTGGACACCTCAGAAACTTAGTGAGATTCTGACGCAAAATTTTAAAAATTTAAATAAAAATCAAAAAGAGTTGGGGATGTAACTCAGTGTGAAGGCCCTGGGTTTAGTCTCTAGTACTACAAAAAAGTTATTTTTTAAAAATCTTGCTCTTTTAAAAATTTTCTCTTATAGAACATTTTGTGCCTTCATTGTACTAAATAAGTAAAATGTCACCAGCCTTAAAGCTAGAGGTCATCTAAACTTTCCCGATTCTTCTGCGCATTTCTGTCCCTGAAAGCCTTTATGAGAATATGAGGTCTAATTATTCCTCTTTAATGAAATCACTTTCTCTTTTCAAGGATTCAGACTATGTTTTACGCAAAATGATGGCCACAGGGCAACAGGGTCTAACAGAAATCCACGCCAATCCTCCTACCATTCTCAGGAAGTCATGCATCTTCAGGTATGAGACAGCTTTTCTATGTGACAGTAGATGTGAAAAACACATTCTGCTTACTATTACATACTGATTCATTCTAATAAACTCAGAATTTACATACACCAAAAGGTACATACAGAAAACGCACTATTTTTGTTTTCAGTTCTATGAGTTTTAATAATGCATATATATTTAGAGTCAACACAAATAGGTATAGGACAATTCTAGCACTTCTAATTAGTCTCTCAACCCATCCCTAAATGTTGAAATCATTGATCTGTTCTTCATTTGATTGGTTTTTAAAGAAAAACTGTTGTAGAACATTATTTGCCTGGACATATTAACTCTTTTCCCTTAAAGTCCTTTTAAAAACATATTCCATAGACACTTTGTATTAAAATTATGGGATTTTTTTTTTTTTGCTTAGGTATAGTCGTACACACGTGTAATCCCTGCTTGTTTTGGAGGCTGAGGTTAAAGAATCACATGTTCCAAGCCTGTCTAGGTAACTCATTGAGACTCTTCCTCAAAATAAAAAATTTAAAAAGGTGTGAGGGCTGAGGATATTGGAGACATAGTTCAGTACTATAGTGTCCTTGAATTAAATCCCTAGTGCCACCATAAGAAAGAAAAGAAAAAGCGAAGGAGAGATAAAGAAAGAAAAAAATTTGCAGGGCTGGGGACGTAGCTCAGTGACACAGCGCCTGCCTGGCAAGCGTGAGGCCCTGAATTCAGTTCCTGGCACCAAAAAGAAAGTAGGGGAAAAAAAGACCCCAAAAAAAGGAAAAGAAAAGAAAAAGATTTGCATATTTGAAAATATGATAGTGCTTTATTTTCTATAAATTTCATGTAAACATTTAATTCAACAAAACCCTGATGTGATTAAGAATAATCCTCCTTGCCAGAGCTCATCAGGTAATGTTAAGTCGCTTGTGAGCATTTATTTTTTATTTAAAGAAGTTGAGCAGAGGAAGAGAGAGGGATAAAATCAATGATGTTATATTCAATAAGACCCAGTTTTAAAATACTCAGAAGGGCTGTCCCCTGTGGAAGGCAGGGAATTCTACAACATTGAACAGATGTCCAACAGATCTTAGCTGAGAACACATCTTGCAAAAGGTACTGACTGTTTCATGGGGGGGGGGGGGGGGGTCCATGTACTTGCATAGGCCTTAACTCTACTCGGATTATTAGGCTAATTTGATACTTAGGTACATATGTTATTAAATTTTAATTTAGCCTCATACTAGAATGTTCATTCTGTCTCAAGATCTGTTCAACATAGTTATTTCTTGTGCTAGTCATGGTTTTGCTGAATATGTACTGCAAACGTGATGATAAAAATTAAAATTGAAAACAAAAAGAATTTTAGTGGAGTCCTGGTAACATCAGACTCCAGGACTCTGGATTCTTGTGTGTGACTTTAAGCAAATACCTTTGGAGGAATTCTGATAATAAGCTTTGTTATTACTATGCCTGAAAAATTTAGTATGCTACCCCGTAACTATGGTTTTCATAAATACAATAAATTGTATCTCAGCAGTAGCAAAAGGTGGGAATACTAGCAGAAAGACAGACTCCTATCCGTCATTACATGATTGATATTCTGAATTGTAAATGTGCTTTTTGAGACTGGGAGAAGCACTTGTTTCCTTACTTGTTCATTTGCTTTTGGTGATGGTAGTGATGCAGATTGAACCAGGGCTTCACAAATGCTAGGCAAGTGCTTAGCCAGTGAGCTGTATCCCTACCCCTTTTAATTTTTATTTTGAGACATCTCACTAAGATGCCCAGGCTGGTTCCAAACTTGTAAACTTCTTGCCTCAGCCTCTCAAATATTAGGGATTATAGGCATGTACCATCATTCCTCGCTAGCACTAGTATTTTTAATTGATTAATTAATTTTTTACTAGTACATGTTGCCATATATAATGATCACATTCATATCATGGGGAATTTGTACTGTACCTGGTATATCTTAATTATTTTTTCTCATTCCCTTCTCCTCCCTTTCACCCATCTTCTCCTCCCCCTTTACAAAACCTCTGCTTCCATCTCTTTTTTCCTATTCTTTTTTTTATTTAAAGAGAAAAAAGAAAGGAAATAAAAAACAAAGCAGTAAAAGGGTACAAGTAATACAGAATTTCAAGAAAAAAATATACAGTAAGAAATCACTAGTTAATAGGTTACATATTGTCATCTTAGAAACCATTGTCCAAATTATAAAATTAAAGCATATAAAGTGGACATTCATACAGTGAGATTGCAGACAGTTCTATTCAATGATCCAACAAAAGCTCAGTAATATGGTTTTCCATCCTACACACTCAAACATACATGCAGTTATATCCCTTAGACCATCTTCCTTTCCTCTCTTTTTGACAATAACAATTACACTTTTTGGGTTTTTTACTCCCACAGTTCTTACTGCTTTTTTTGAAGAGAATAAAACCAAATATGACTAAACAAAACAGAGTTGGTTAGAACAGAAGGATGGGCATAGTACATGATGCAAAAATAGAATACCAGGTGATAAAAATGGTTACCATTGTGCCTCTTGTTATTTTTAAAAAGATTTGCCTATATCATCAAGTATAATAGAATTGATCAAAGAAGTACAGAACAAGACCAATAAAACCTGGAGACCTTACAGGACTTCAAAAAAAAATAGTAGTCAAACCATAATGGGCATCATAGTAAATCTTATTGCCTTCAAAGTGGTTGCCTATACCCTCAAACTTGATATTATCAAACAAAATAGAATATAGTAAAATCAGACAGAACCAGAGAGAAATACTGGGGTTCAAATCAGGTTAATAGGAAAATTAAAAAGTTACTATAATATATCCCACTATTTTTAATTTAGTTTTCCCTTAATTGAAAAAAAATAAGAAAAAATAGATTAATTTTTTAAAAAGAGGGAGATTGAGATAAAAGAGGACATTATAACAGAACAACACAGGCCAGAACCGAACAATTTAAGCATCATTGTGTTTCACCCCCAGGTAATCTAACATAATAGTAGTCACCATAGTGCCTCTTTCCTTGAATTATTCGAGTATAACTTCGTATACTATAGCATCAAGCATATCAAGACAATGTGAAGCCATTCAAGAGGATGAAAGAATTACAGGGTATTTAGAACCAGCTAATAGAAAACGAACAACGGTTTCTATATTATCTCTTTGTCTATAAAAAATTTTGTTTATACTATCGCATATAGTAAAATATAGTAAGATACAACATGTTGAAACCAGTGGAAACAGATGTACAACAGCTCTTAGGACTTCAAATCAAGATATTAAATCAGCACTAGCTTTTATGATGTGTTGCTTTCTTCAAAACAGCTATTCGTACTATCACAGATACTAAAATCGAACAACCCAGGTTAAAACCATTGCAATTAATGAGTGAAAACATTATATGGCTTCAAACCAATATGATTGGGAATCCTGATTACCACATACTTTTATGTATTCTTATCATTTCTTACACTAGGGAAACTATTCGGTATTTGTACATGTGAGTTTGGTTTATTTCACTTATGAGTATGGTCTCAAGCTGCACCCATTTATTTATAAATATCTCAATGTGATCATTCCTTATAGCTGAGTAGTACTCCATTGTATAAAAATACCACAACTTTTTATCCATTCCTCAGTTGATGGACACTTAGGTTGTTTCCAAGATCTGGCTATTACAAATTGTGCTGCTATAAACATGGGTGCACATACATCACTGTGGCATGATGCTTTTAAGTTCTTCTGGGAATATGCCTAGAAGTGGAATAGCTGGGTCAAATGGGGCTTCCAGTCCCAGCTTTCTGAGAAATCTCCAGACTGACCTCCACAATGGTTGCACCACTCTACACTCCCACCAACAGTGCAGGAGAGTTCCTTTTTCCCCACAGCCTCTCCAGCATTTGTTGTTGGTGGTTTTCTTGATCTTGGCCATTCTTTCAGGAGTGAGATGAAATCTCAGTGTGGTTTTAATTTGCATTTCTCTAATGACTAATGATGATGAACATTTTTTCATATATTTATTTGCCATTTGTATTTCTTCATCTGAAAATTGTTTATTCATCTCAGATGCCCATTTTTGGATTGGATCTTTGAATTTTGGGGGACTGATTTTATAAAATTCTTTATATGTTTTAGACAGAAGTCCTTTGTCTGAGGGACAGTTCACTAAGATTTTTTCCCAGTTTGTGGGTTTTCTTTTCACTATGCTGGAGATTTCTTTTGACATGCAGAAACTTTTTAATAAGAAGTGATCCCAATTATTGACTCTGGGAAGTATTTCCTGTGCGGTTTGAGTCCTGTTCATGAATTCTCTACCTACTCCTATGTCTTTAAGGTTTTTAACCAATTTGTCTTCCAATAGATTTAGTGTTTCTGTTTTAATATTTAGATCTTTGATCCATTTAGATTTTATTTTAGTACATGGTGATAGGCACGGATCTAGTGTTAGTTTTCGGCATGTGGAGAGCCAGTTTTTCCAACACCATTTATTAAAGAGACTGTCACTCTTCCAGTGAACATGTTTGGCCCCTTTTTCAAAGATAAGGTGGTTGAGTGTGTTTTTAGTTGTGGTTTTATCTTCTAATATATTCCACTGATCTTTGGCTCTGTTTTGGTTTCAGCACCATGTTGATTTTACTACGGTTGCTTTGTAGTATAATTTCAAGTCAGGGATTGTGATGCCTCCTGCTTTGCCTTTGCTGCTTAGGACTGTCCTTGCTATTCTAGGTCTTTTCTCGCTCCTGATGAATTTTAGGAGTGATTTCTCGAGTTCTATGAGGTATGTTGATGGTATTTTTATCGGGATTGTATTGAATCTGTATAAAAGTTTTGGGAGAATGGCCATTTTCACAATATTTATTCTTCCTATCTATGAGCAAGGAATGTCTTTCTATTTTCCGAGATAGTCTTCAATTTCATTTTTCAGTGCATTATAAATTTCCCTGTATAGGTCTTGCACTTCTTTCATGAGAGTAATTCCTAAATATTTCATTTTTTTGGTTG